GAGGTCCCAGCGTGTTGAAGTGAGGTGGGGGTTTTGCATGTCTCCTCTCTGTGAGTCCATGAGCTTCTCGCCATGCAGTCAATGCTTGCAGCGCAAGCTGCTTTGTGAATGCTAATGTGTTCTTCCAGCTTCAGTTTGGTTCCTTAGGTTGGGGTTTAACACATAATTTAACTCAGTGGGCTTTCCACTATCAATTACTAGAAGCCGACACTTTCCAACGCTGCGCATTTTCTTCAGCATAAACAGGTGATCAGACGTGGGTTAGCACTAATGAAGCAGACACCGAGTCCGGGAGGAACACTGAATGCCTGGCAGGAATGTCACAACACTCACTCCCTGCAAGCTGAACAGGCCTGCCAGGCTCCTGCCCTGTGGGGTTCAGGTTGATGTAACATGAATAAAATATTTCGACAAGAAGCAAGGAGCCCTCAAGGTATGAAAAAAACAGAGCAGGCTTTTTGCCATCCGTGGAATTGTAAATTTCACAGGTTGAATCATTTCTTTTGTTGCTCAGATATCACCAGTTGAAATCTTCCCCCACTTAAAGGATGTGATCCAAAAACTCACCCACGTGCAGGCTGAAGCCAAGCTGGGAGACCGGTGGGGGCGGGGCCGTGAGCGCAGCAGCACTGCCGGGGCCCTCAGTGACACACGGGCACAGGGCGTCAGAGAAGAGCGAGGGAGCCGCCCTCCCTGGCCGGTGGGGTTCCAAGGGAGCAAAATGCCCCAAAACCAACCTCCTGCACCTCACTCCATTTTATAAGAGGACACTACGGCACTCACCGGCACAGGGAGCACCCAGGTCTCAGCCACCCACCGCCACCCGTCCCTGGATGGCCTTTCTCTGGTCTGATGGGCGGGAAGGGCTGCCCCATACTCCGGGGAGAAAGCTCACCTCAGTGCCCACTCAGCAGAGCCACTCTGGTCCTGGGAGCATCATGTGCATTTCCATCTGTCCCAGACCCCTCCGTTTACAACATTTATCAAGCTCTTACTGTGTGGCAAGAAACAAAATAAGTCATGGGCACTGCCCTCGAGAGGTTTTCTAGCTGGTGAAAGAGTGTGAGCTCAATGCAATAAGGGCATGACCATGGGATGCACAGTCAGACAGACAGGGGCTCTGCCAGGCATCTTGGCGGGAGTGAAGGTGCCTGACGTAGCGAAGGCACTCAGAGCGGCAGCTCTTACTATCATCATCACCACCACCTTCTCCATCACCACCATCATCATTATTACCACCACCATCATCTCCATCATCATCCTCATCATCACTACTATTACCTTTATCACTATTAGCATCACCAGCATCATCACCGCCACCAGCATCTCCATCACCATCATCACAACCATCACCACCACCACTACCACTGTCACTGCCATCAGCATCACCATCCCCACCACCATTATTATCATTGTGCTTGCATGAAGAGACTTTCTCAGGACATGCTCAGCCTTCACATGTAATTTTCATGTCAGAAATAACGAGGCCATGGAGGGTGTGCTGCTGCCTGCAGAGCTAGTAATGGTGAGCTGCAGAGCTCTGCAGGACCCGTGTCCGGCTCCAGGAGGAGCACTGGCCAATGACACTCCCAACTCTCTACCACAACTGATGATCTTTCTCACTTTAAGGACACGATCTGCAAAAACTGAAGGATTTAATAACTTCAGCATGCTGAGGTCTCTACGACAAATCTTGATCTACAGCAGAATTAAGTCTGGGATGCGATGGAAGGCAGACCAGGGAGGAGGGGCTTGTGTAGACGACATGGTGCTCTCAGAACTTCCAGTCCACATTTTCCCCTCGTGAGCAGGATGTGAGGTGGGCTCTGGTGGGTCAGGCACTGTCATGCCATCCGTGGGCCTGAGCCTCATGCTCCAGATGTGGGAATGAAGCATCCGGGGGCTGGGGTGACAGCACTGTCATGGGAATGTCATGAGCCTTTCAGTCCCACTAGGCCCCTTCCTATTTGGCACATGGAACTGAGAGCTGCAGTGGGGGACCCCAGCCTGGCAACCCTCATCTCCCCTGGCCAGCAGAGGGGTTGGATGTGGGCTGGGGGACCTGGAACACCTTCCAGGCGCAGGGCCTTCCAGCATCCCCAAACCTTCTGAAGATGGTCCAGGACTCAGAACCCGCTGGTTAGCTGCCATGCCTTCATGCATTTCCCTGCTCGCATCTAGTGATTTTTGTTTTCTGCCGCTTGCCAATCTAGCCTCTTCCAAGTGAGGATGTAAATACTGAAATTTAAATGTTACTCAAAAGGGTTCCAGTGTTCTCGATACCTGCCAGGGAGAGGAGAAACATTCCCTTCCCTGCTCACCTGGAACAGGATGCCCATCCTGGAAGAGCCATGCTCCCAGGCAGGGCACGGCTCCCTCTGCCCTGTCCCCAGCGCTGGAACTAAACCTTTGATGGCCATTAATCGCTGCTTACAGACAGCTGCTCCTTTGTAATAGTATTCTTATGAGAAGGGCATGTCCAAACTTTAAAAAGGTCTCAGAAGACTAGTACCCAGTTTGCTTATATCTAATCTTCTGACATCCTTGCAGTTCTAAAGGTATGAAAGAAATAGACAAATGGCCCAAGACATCTGCCAAACATGAACGGATTAATAACTACTTTAAATTTGTGTCATCAACAGCCAAATATGCACACTGAATTTTACTGGTCTATTGCTGAAGTACAAAAGTCCTTTAATCTCAAAACTGCAACTAAATTATTTTTACAGCAAAAGGAATTAATTAAATCTTAGTTATTAAAGTGATGAGTTTATCAAGTAATTTAAAAATGGTCAACATGAGGGTGGGAGCTATACAGTGACTTTCTAAAACCCCTTGCTTCACAACTGTTTTATGACAGCAATCGCCAAGGAGTGAATTCAGCCAACTGGACGACACGTGAACCTAAGGAGGCCACTGTGTGTTAACCTGGGCCTTAGAGTCCTTTTCTCCATATGCGCTCACACGCCTCCAGCCTCTTCCAAATCTCAAAAGAGATATTTTAATTCAGGAGAAAAGACTTCCGATTCCAAGTTTTCCAAGTAATTTCTTTTAAGAAGGTTTGGTGAGGTTAAGTCAGGGGTGATAATGCTCTAATGCAGATAGTTTTGTTCCCCCAAAACCTTTTTTATAAAGTCAGAATTTCCTGATAGTATTTGATTAATGAGTTAATATACCTAAAGTTTTCGACCTGGACCTAGCTGTGGTGGCTGTGGTTGTTATACGGCTGGACTGTAGAGTCAGATAATCTACTCATGGGAGACTCTTCGAGCTCCTTCCAATTCCCGGTTAATGACACACGAAGTCCGAGTCTCTCGGGCAGGCTGGATGCCACCTGCTTGCTCATTCCCGATCCCAGGACCTGCGAGGCGAATGTGGACAAGCGCTTCCTCAGCCAGGCACTGGGATCTGGTTTCCTTCTCACAGACGGAGCGAAGAGAAATTCAGAGACTCCGCCTTTACCGGCCAAGGTCACTCGGGCGGCCAGCAGCACACTCAGCCCTGAAGCCAGGACCAATATCTGCAAAGCGTGTTCCCTCCCGGTCCCAGACCTGAGGGGGGACTTGAATCCTCACCTGACTCCAAAGAGGGCAGGGACACTGGGTCCATGCTGCAGGGCACCAACTCCTGCTCCGATCTTCAGGGCCTGTACAATCCCACTGAACCTCCGGACACGCCACTGAAGATGGGGATCAGTCCCTGCACAAGCGTCCTTAGAAAGTGAAGTGGGTGACCACACCTAAGCCCCCAGAGCGACGCCCGGCACGAATGGCAGTTTCTCTAGTCGGTATCACTAGCACACGGCGGCAATCTGTCACCCGCAGTGTCGCTCAGGAGTGTCCTCTCCCATCTGTAACCCCTCTGGTCTTCGCTTTTAGAGGCAGGGCCCTCTAAGGAGCCAGCCAACCCCCGATGCAGATACACCCAAATGTGCCAACATGGGAGGCCTGGCACCCCACGGATGCCACACTCTCAGGCCTTTCAGGTCCTGGTCCCTGCCTGGCAGTATTTGGGCCCCCAAAATGCATCTCCATCTCTCCACCTCTCATAGCTGCCCCGGGTCCCATAGGCACAAGTGCCCGGCTGTCTCCTCCTAGCACGTCTCTGTGCGGGGCTCGAAGCCCACACGCTCTCCCTGCGGCCCTTGTCCATGCAGGCCCCTGCCTCAGACACCCCTGCTCCGTCCCAGCGCCCCTCTTTGCCTGCTGGGCCTTCTCCCTGGCCCACCCACCCGTGGCCAGCTCTCGGGGCCCCTCAGCCGTCACGCCTCCCCAACACAAAGACCACTTCATGGTCCCCCGAACCCAACACACGCCCACCGCATTGCTGCAGCCGGAAGGTAATGCTGTGCACGGCCAACCTGGACACGTGTATTTGTAATGGGGACATTTCATATACCGTGACTGCTTAGTCACTTCCCTGTCCCCACAGGGCCGCCTCAGGGCCCAGCTGTCCTCTTCATTCCCCAACCTTCAGGCCTCTTCCATAAAGCCCTGACCTGTACCACATGGCCAGATGTCAAGATGCCTCCTTCGCTAATCCGTTACCATTCTCAGAGTGAAAAAGCTTTCCTTGTTAAGCCCATTCTGCAGATGTGGTTACTGAGGCTCAGGAGTTAAGTACTTGGCCTGGAATGGCACAGGCAGGAGGTGGCAGAGGGGAGTCCAGCCCAGGTGGCCTGGCTTCTGAGCTGTGCTCCTGATGAGCTCACTGCACCCTGAGACAGACACTGACCAGCGTGTGTGAAGCGAAGGCACAGCTCTTTCCAGTGGGGCCCCAGCCCTTGCCCTCGCACTGACTTTAACAGCAGGTCTTCTGCCTTGGCCTTCCCACCCTCCGCCTCTGCTCCCAAGGCATGGTCACATTTGGATCCCAGGTCAAGATTCATGAGAGTAGAAACTGCAACAGAAATGACCCTCCCTTGTGCCTTTCACCAGAGCCAGCCTCCCAGTAGGCTAACTTCGTGTCACAGGTCGGCATCCCAGGGAATGCCAGCTCACCTTGCCGCCCGGGGGCCCTGCCAGGGCCCTCTCCTGTGTCGGGAAGCCTGCCGCTTGCCCGGAGCCCGCCTCCCATGCCGTCCAGAGACGCAGAGCCGTTGGCCTGGCTGCCCAGGGTGCTCATGTGGGTGGGGATGGGCTCGAAGGTGGGGTCCAGCTCCAGGATCAGCCTGTTGAGCTGCTCGATGGACTGGTCGATGTCCAGGGTAGGCGAACCCGGGGAGGGGCCTACGCTCAGCTCCAGGCCGGCTCCGTTCATGACTTGGTCATCTGGAAACCTGGGTTTAAACACTTTGCCAGGAGAGGCTTGCTGTGTGTCGGGAGGATGTGGCCCACTGCCACTGTGGCCCCTCTGGAAAGCCACTCTGCTGCTGGCCCCTCGGGTGAGGGTGACCGGGACCCTGGGCTGGGCTTGGACAAGGCCCGAATTGTCCCCTGGGCCGCGGCTGACGAGCCGAGCCTCCCCGTCAGGGGCGAAGCTGTACTGATGGGCCACCACCATCTGCTGCTGGCGCACCCAGGTCTGAGTGGAGTAGCTGCTCTGCCCGTAGGCCTGCGTCTGGGCGGACACCGAGGGCTTCCTCAGCAGGGGCTGGGCCTGCTTGGGCTCTCGGCTCCCAAAAGTCCGCTCCCGCTCGTAGAGAGGGTCCGTGCCAAGGCCCAGGTCTGGAGCAAGGGCACCCTGCTGATCTTCTCCCACGGTGCTGCCAAAGCCGTCAGACAGGAGGGAGTTTTGGCTGCTCTTGTGGCAGGTGAAGGGGCCCAGGTGGCCTGACTGCGGCCCTTCCGAGGAGGACAGAGTCCCGAGGCTGTCCACGCTGCGCAAGTCGTGGTGGGACACCTCGTCGTCCAGAATGTCCGTCTCCCGGTCCTTCAGGACTGCGTCTCCGTTCACGTGGACCTGGGCCGGCACCACATGGCGCGTCCCGCTATACTTGCTGCGAGCATCCGTCATGTCCTTGAGAGAGCTCCCGGAATCTTCCAGGCCAAAGCCGCTGAGCAGCTGGTCTAACTCGGCCTTCTCCTGGGCACTCAGGCCCCTCTTGGCTCCCGGAGCCAGGCGCTCCTCAGTCTTGTCGGTCCTGACCGAGGCCGTGGAGTGGCCAGAGTCACTGCTGACAGACAGGGTGTGGTCACTGTGGTCTGGGCTGCTGGTGGCCGGGACGGCCTGGGGGCCACCTGGGATGCCGGGATCCGAGCAGCTTTTCTTCCTCACCTTAGCGTAGAGGCTGCCGTCGACGGGGCCCTGCGTGTGCAGCACTGCGGGGCAGAAAACAGGAGAGAGAGGCTTTAGGTGAGGGATGAGAGGGTGCTTTGCACTCTCGGAACAGGCACAAGCACTTGTCTGAACAAATAAGTGAGTGCACAATATGACTTACAGTAAACAGGGACAAACACCTTTCTAAGACTGAGAAGTACTGTGTGGACTCCAGACAAAGAAAAGGAATTCAAATAATCAAACATCTTAAAGTGCTAGAAATCATTTCTACCTTTCTACGCAAAAAGGATTACCCTTTAGAGAAGCTCTGGAATTCTTCACTTTTGAGTCATCTTGCCTTGAGGGCTCACTGTTAATTCTGCTATTACTTTGCAGGTTGAGCCCAGCTCAGCTCATAAATCTCCAAGAAGTGACTAAGACAAAGCAGAGTTTCCAGCTGGGTACCTGTCTAACGTTAGTCGAATGCTGGCTAGGTGCCATGCAACATGTTGCTATTAAACCGAGCATCTGAAAATCTGCTAAACTCAATGAAAAGAGAAAGTGCAGGAACTGATCTTGGGCCTTCCCATTTAGTTTAGCATCTTTGGGCCAAGGAGGTACCTGATGAACATGTCAGGACCACATGACACTTGAGGACGACCTGCATGCGTTGATTTCCATACATGGAATGTCAGGACAACAAAAATTCGGCCTAAAGTGTGGGTGGGAAGCGCCAACCCTCTGCTGCTATTATTAATTACAGCCCCCGCACCGCGTTCGTGGACTCCCAAGACTCCGTCTGCTTACTGGCGGCTGTTAATCGCCTGGACCACACGTGGCACGTCCCTGCCAAGAGCCTCTGGAAACAAGCCGGAGTCTGTAGTCAGCACATCCCTCGCCCCAAGCCTCCTCCACCTTCCTCTAGTCTCTGGGCTGTGAAATTGCAGGCATCCCACAACATTCCACAACAAGGGAGCTGCCGATGGTTGGAATCTGAGACATGAGTCAGCCACAGCCTCCCGGCCCTGGAGCCCTCTGGAGGGGCCTGCCCTAAACATGTGCCCCGAGGCCCCGGGCTCCAGGCTGGACACACTGCCATGGTCAGTGGCTGCTGGCTTTCTTGAAAACACCAGGACACTGTGCTGGGAGAGAGTCCTGAGAGGTATGGGGTGCTGTGCTGAGAACACGCGCACCCTGGGCTTCTGTCTTGTTTCAGCTGTGTCCAAGGGAAGCATGCAGAGAAGTGGGGCGGGGACAGCGAACACCAGGGTAGAGCCAGTCTGGAATGGCCCCGACACTCATCTTAAGTAGAGCGTGTGGGAGGGAGGGTCTGGGGGCAGAAACGGTACACAAGATGCTGTAAATAGACCAAGTGTTCAAGACAGGGCGACTGGTGACAAGAGACTGCTGGATGTGACCATGGGATTGATTTAAGGTAATAACATCAGTGACAGCTGCTATTTACTGAGCACCTCTTTTTTTTTGAGACAGAGTCTCATTGTGTTGCCCAGGCTAGAGTGCGGTGGCGTCAGCCTAGCTCACAGCAACCTCAAACTCCTGGGCTCAAGCAATCCTGCCTCAGCCTCCCGAGTAGCTGGGACTACAGGCATGCACCACCATGCCCGGCTAATTTTTTCTATATATTTTTAGTTGTCTGATTAATTTCTTTCTACTTTTAGTAGAGATGGGGTCTCGCTCTTGCTCAGGCTGGTTTCGAATTCCTGAGCTCAAACAATCCGCCTGCCTCGGCCTCCCAGCGCGCCCGGCTACTGAGCACCTCTTACTTCAGGGCAGGCACATAGCACATTTTCTCTAATTTTCACAGCATGACCTAACTGGTTAACTTGCATTGTTATTCCTTGTTTATCTATAGATGACTAGGCCCAAAGAGAGTAAATAACTTGCCAAGGTCAGGCAGCTGCTAGGAGGCAGAGCTGGGCCTAGAACCCAGGAACGCTGGCCCTGAAGCCCACGTGCTCTGCCCACTGCCTACCTGCTCAGAGAGCCACTGAGGGCTCCGTCAGTGGCCCTGTCCACGAGAAGGTGGCACTGAAATCACATTGCTCTGACCAGGGATCAGTGAGTGACCCTGGGCAAGGCTTCAGAACAGACAGAGACTGAAACACCTCCTGTACCCAGCTCTGTGTAAATTAAATAAAAGCACACCTGGAAAGACTGCCCTAAATTATGAGGCACTTGCACATATCACCTCTAACAATTTTGAAAGTAAAATGTAATCTGTGTGTTGAAGCACTAGGGCCTGTGCAGTAGAATGGCCTCTTGAAGAAGCTCGGGCATCAGACAGACACCAGGTCAAAGCCCCGTCTCTCCCCTGGGACCTCCCTCAGAGTTCTACCGACTGGCACCTTCACCTTGACCTTCCACTTTCCAGCTGTAAAACAGGGGTACAAGCAGATGTTCTATGTGAAAGTTGACCTGAGAATTAAATGGCACAGTGCACAGGTGAGTGTCCTCCTAGTAAACACCAGTTTAATTTGGCTTCTGTTTAGATCCACTGTTCCCAGAAAAACTCAACTAATAAAAGACCTGGGAAATCGGTCCTTCTATAATACTCTGCAGAGCATGCAAAGAGCAGAAGGTGCTGATAAATGCCTTCTGCAGAGACCCCACCATGTTGGAGGGGACTGCGTGGCTGTCAGCCCCGTCTCACCACATCGAGCACAGACCAGGGGGACGCACAGCCAAGGGCACGAGTTGGCTCATTACAGTAACAGATTTCATGCTGCTAAGACTGTACATCGATAGCTTCTATCCCTTCCTCCCTAAATCTGAATTAAAATGAACTGGCACAATGACTTAAAAAAAAAAAAAAAGAGAGCTCAAGAATGAGTTGTAAGAAAATTCTTCTAACTTAAATTGGAATGCAGCCAGAAAGTACTTACCAATCATTCTGATAGAATCCTTCCACTAGCCCCATGCTAAGAACAGTACATAAGGAAGGGCTTGTACAAAACGGTAAAGAATAGGATATTCCCTTGGCTGGGAGGTTATGAATAATCCTGTTATTCCTAACAATAATCCTACTTATTACTTTTATTAATGGTAGAAATCTTAAAATAATAATAAACGCATTAAAAACCATACCATTTCCATTACCATTAACTAAACACTAGATCTATGCCAGGCTCAGCTGTGAGCATTTTAGGCAGGGTCTCATCAAATCCTGACAGCCCAGGTGGCACACAGCCACCCTCCCACAGGACAGAGAGGGGTCCCATCCAGCCCTGTCCAATGCCAAAGACCACCCCGGACTCTTCCTAAACTTCCTGCTACACGCAAAGATAACTTTCTACATCAGAAAATGTCCAACTGGCTGTGGGCGGGGAGAAAGAAAATGCAGAACCGATGTTAATCCACAGGAAAAAAACATGAAACCCATCAAGTGACTCCGAAGACAGAACCAGCCAAGCTTCTGAATCACTGCTGAGGAGCACGGACCTTCCCAAGGTGCAGAGCTCCAGGGTGCTATCCCAGAAGCTCCACAGACGCCCCAGCCCGTACCCACGTGTCTGTGATTTTGGGTGGGGGGCAGAGGAGTCAGCCTCAGGGGGAGGGAAGGAGGAGGGGCCTCCGGAACGCACTCCTCCCCCTCTGCATTCCGACAAAGGGCTACCACTTTGCAGGAGGAAGGACTTGAACTTCACTTGGACAAATGAGACACTTTGGTTTCCCCTTATCCTCAAAGACAGGATTCCCAACCTGCCATTCACTGTGTGTGTTCCCAACCATGATGTTTAGACTATTCAGGCCCCTGGTTCTTCATTTATAAAAGGCAATTATTCCATCTTTCAATGAAGTTATGAGAACTAGAGAAAATATATGTACGGCACCAGCTCAGAGGCTCCTGACAAGGGTACCCACAATTACTATTAAAAGTTCTTTCCAGGATGGACATGGCCCTGCTCCCCCTCCCTGGACTCATTTCCTCACTGTCCTAATGCTCCCAGACCACTGCAGGCCTGCACCTGCCCTGGGGCGTCGCTCCTGCCAACTCTGCCTCCAGGGCCCTTCACCGTGGCTGGCACCCTCACCTCCTCTGCACAAGCCTCTCTCGATGCTTCTTTCGCTGTCAGGTGTCTATACACAGCGTGCACCCACGCTCAGACGGCCTGCAGGTCCACCCTGGCTTCGTGCACAGCCCAAACCCGACTAAAGCACAGGCTCCCTGCGGGCAGCAGTCTAGGTCTGTTTTTGCTCCCTTGGGTATACCCAGCATTAGAGAATGGCCCCTGACACCAAGTGAACACTGTGTAACTGAGAGGCTAGTGTTCTAGCTTTTTCTCACACGACAAGACCTGGGGAGCTATTTTGGAAAGCTCCACTGCCTTAGCTGGCAAAAAAAAAAAAAAAAGGCAAGACCAACCAACCAGAAACAAACACACATCTACAAGGAACTCAAAGTAAAAGTGCCCCGTAGCCCCTGCCCACCTGCACCCCAGGTCCCCCTGCTCTCTGGGCATTGAAACAACCTCTCCTCAGGCAGCATGGCCATGTTCCTGAGAGCCAGGAGCAGGGCTGGCCACCGCTCCTCACTCATCCGGCTGGTCTTCAAATGACACAGAACGAAATTGGAAAAGTATCTAAAAGCATTCAATTTAATGGTTCCAAAGTTTCAAAGAAAGCAAAAGTTGTGATCCACGTGCCCATGGGGCAGGAAGTGGGGGCCAGTTTGAACATTACCTGGCCACAGTGTGCTCAGAACCGGGGGTATGAAGACGAGAGACAGAGCCCTGGCTAGCAGGTGCACGGCAAATGGCACCACGCTGGTTGCCACGTCCAGTCTCTTTTACCCTCCTGCCACCCGTGAGGTGGACGTCCTGTGGCTCAGACCCACACAGCTCCAAGTGGCAGAGCTCGGTACACGCCGCTCCTCTTACCTGTGTATTGTCTCTCTTCTCACCTGTGAATCTGCTGCCTCTAAACTGTGTACGTGAACAAGGGCTACCTCACCTAAACACTTTCTGCCATTGCTTTGCTTTCTAAGACCCATGCAAACACTGCAGGACAAGAGCATAAAAAGAGAATCGTGACTAGAAATGGA